TCCTAATGGCTGAGTGGCATGGTTTCATAAACCCTCTGCTTGCGTGCTCCCTCTTTTCTGATTTTCTAAGAGTGCCATATGCTGCTGTCTTTTAGCTGCCAGTGGGCTCTGCTGGAGCACTAGCTTGCCCATAAGATCAGGTGTCTGAGAAACTCCTCAGAAGCAAGATTCTACTTGTAGATGCACAGGCTTTCCAAATTTGCTTCAGAAATGGCTTCTCAGCACTTAAAATCTTTGTCCCTTGGCAAAGCCCAGAGCCTCCTGAATGTCTCCGAGTGTTTCAATAGCAAGCCCGAGAGCAGGCCAGACGCAGAACAGCTTAGTGCTTTTTTCCAGTTGACCCTTTCACCCTGTCTGGGTGTCCACTCTAAATCACTGGCAGTAACTGTGTGTTGAAGCAAGAGCTGCTGATTGACAGTGAATATAATAGGGCGTAAGCGAAGAAATTTCCTTCCAAGTAGTTTAGGGCTTCACCCTCCTCTGGTCTTAATTCTGAAATAATCCCCCAAAGGCCTATGTGGGTATTCAGTGCAATGAATAAACAGAAGGCTGCTTTTCCCTCTTGAAACATGCACAGAGCTCTCATGCTAATGGCTTTTAAGCATCAATGCAATTACAGTGTGTAATCGATTCGCTCTATACCAGCTTTTGTCTTCTGAAATGAAACCTTGTCTCTTTCTTAACTATTTGCTTTTGTATTAAAACATTTCAAGATGACAGGCATTTTTTCCCCTTGTTTTTGTCTTCTTTCCCCTCTTTCCTGCCTACTTCTGCCACTGGAAGAAAATCTATTATTACACTTTTTTTTTTTTTTACTTTTTTTTTTCCTACAGTAATTTGTTCCCTGGAACTTCCTTTTACTCCTTTTAATTTATTGGGTTTGGGGTTTTTTTAGTTCATTAATCACATGTGGAGCTGCTCAGAAATATTTCCATGAAACAGATTGTCATTGAATGAAAGGGGAATTTGTGAAAATGGATTTCAATGTTAGCAAAAGGGCTCAAAGCAGGAAATTAATTCCCTTTTATAAGTTATTCAGTGTGTCAGTGGCTAAGGTGTTTTTTCTGGAATGTGGCAGGCCTAGGTTCAGGTCCCTTTTGGAGCCAGGAGAAGCAGTAACTCAGTGTCTTGACCTTTGGGCTTTAGCTATTACAGAAGCACAATTTACTTCTCTGCTTTGGTGGTGGTAGTATTTTAAATTCTTTTTAGACCGTAACAAATTTCTGTTTCATCCTGATGACAAGCATGAAGACTGGGGCTATCTTTAAAAGATTTGAGGGAGAGAGATGCCTCATTTTGCCCCTCTTTATTATAATTTGTATTGTTGTCTCCTCTAAAAGTTGTCATGGTGCCAGGGACCCCTGTAAGCTGAGTGTAATAGAAAGTGCCATACATCTTGCTCTACAGATTGAATTATACAAGACTAAGAAAGGAAATACTAGTATCCATGTTTGGCAAACATTGGGTTTCTTTCCTACAGGTGGTTTTTATAGATGCCAAAAATATAAATAACTATAAACAGATTTAGACAAATTGTTAAAGGCTAAAGCTATAGGTAGCTATAAGAACAAAAGAATTGTCATACTTGGTCATATTCCCTCTCTGGGCTAAAATCACATGCCTGGGGAAACTTGCACAAATGCGCTAGATATATTTTTATTGATTTAATTGACCTCAGTGCACATCTCTTCTCTGAACTTCTCCTGTCTCCCCTTGAACCAACGCTAAGTTTTCAGTCTCCACAAAATACAGTGGGAAGACATTTCCCAACTCATGCACATGTAGTATTTTGAACCTCCCGGTTTCTCTTGCTGTCCTAGGTCTTATGTACTGAAAAACAGTGAATAATCAATTCGGGACACTCATGACTTTACAGATGTCTTTCATATCTCTTTTGTTGTGTCTTTCTTGGATTGAGAGTTGGAGTAGTTTCTCACTAAAAAAAGGCAATTCCACATCTTTGATCACCTTTGCTTGCTTTCTCTGATCCTTTTATTATTGGGCACAAAAGTCGCAATAGTTTTTGAATTAGGAAGAGTATAACCTGATTGCTGAAAGTTAATAAGGGGAAGAATCACCCTGTACACGGACAATTTTAAAGGCTTTCTGTCTAAAATTCTGCTATTGCCTCCTGTCATAGATGGGATAATGGGCAATATCAGACCTTTTTTTATGTCCACTGAAGAATGCAGAAAAACTAAGGGATTTTTACTTTATGGATTCTTCATAACAAAGACTGTGGTGAAATGGGGAGCTGGTAGTCTAGCTGTGTAACCGCATGGCTGTTCTTCTCTATCATCGCACTTTTCCTCTCTTCCTTTGCCTGCTGATGTATTTATATAAGGAAGCCTGTTGATCTGCAATCCAGGTGGAAAGCAAATCACAGAGTCTTCATGTCTCCGTAGTTCTTGGTACTTGCATAGTTGTTGGAGACCCTGATACTTGCTGACTGGTATAAAATTGCTAAATAATAATACGAAGAATAAGATTTGTACCAGTAATTTGCCCCAAATAATGAGTTCTCTAGAGTTCGTCTTTTTTTTATTCATGAGCAGCCTGTAAAATTCTCAGTCATGAATTATTCAGACTTATTTGTGAATTTATTTGAAAACATTTCCTCACATAGCTGCCTCACTAAACAGCTAATTGAGAGCATTCCTGTGTTCTGGTTGTGTTCCCCCTAAGTTCTGTGCTGTACAGGGAAGGTAGAGATGAAGAAGGGAACAGATAGGTGTTGCCTAATTATTTCCAGTCTTTGATTGAATGGTGCATACTCTCAAACACTGCAGTCTAGCCCAAGACACATGATTTATTAACATATAATGCATAAGAAAGCCTCGAGTCTGTTAGCTTCCTGCTCAATTATAGCAGACCAATAGGCTTGTGAAAACTTAATTTAGTGCTGCTTTGTTATTGACTTATGTTCCTGCTAAGTAGGTGACAGAAAGGATCTGGAGAGTTTAATAAGGGATTCACGGATCACCGCACACTAAGGTGTACTTAAACTGTCTTGATTGTGGCTGGGTATTTGTTTCTCTCCTCCCAATTAGCAGGCAGTGTGGCAGTTTTATTGGGAGAGTCTTGTAAAGGATAGTTGCCCCATTACCATCTTTTACATAGCTACATGTATTTACAATACCTTACTAACAAAATACTGTTGTATTGAAGACTGCTTGTGTTCTGTGCCCATGTGAGCCAGTCCCTATGCTTAAACATTTTGCAGCTCGTAGCAATACAGCGACCAAACTGCACATGTGGAGTTTTGAGTCCCAGAAGCTCTGGACGTGTTGCATGTTCCTTGTGTGGGTGGAGAGAACCACAGGAGAGAGAAGACTGGTGTGACTGCTCTTTTCTCAAATTGCTGCATGTCCTGAAGATCAGGTCATAGTTTAGAGTTTGTAACTGGCACATGACTGAGATTAGAAGCTTCCTATCAGGTTATTAACTCTAGTATAGGACTAATGTTGGAGGTCATGAAGACCCATCGTGGTTATCCTCTGCTGGAAATTAATATGCTCCCAAGGCTGTGGCTTGAGACACAAAAATCTGTGGTACTGGACAAGAAGTCAGAACAGAATAGCATCCTGAAGGCTTTCATTGGGTTGCAGGGGTGGGCAGGACTGTCAGCTTTCCTTTATTTTCCCCTTCCCCCTGGTACTTGAGTGGTCAAAAAGAGTTGTCTGGTCACTGCAGTAATAGTCTACAGAAGAACCGGGTTCCCAAACTGATTCAGAAAGCTGTTCTAAGTGGTTTGCAGTCAGATATTAGAAATATTTTAACAAATAAACCATTTGTGTCGCTTTCAAATGATTTCAGCAAAATATTGAGTAAGGAGCAGCCTGTACACGAGTAATGCTGAGACCTGATGGTGTGCAAGTCAGGAAAGTGGACTATTGACTAAATGTTTTTTAGTTCTGTGGCTTATCCCAGGACAGCTGTGGTCTTGGCTGAGACAGATGCACCTGTATATGCACAGCATGGAAGTCTCAAAACATTAAAGCAGAGGTGCTGGTTTTGCCTTCATAACCAAAGGCGTGTTGCAATTTTAAAATCACCACTTGAATCCTGTAGGACCAATCTTTCTGGCACAATTTTAGGTCAGTCTAGAGATAGCATTCTAAAAATTACATTCTAAAAATTAGAGCCCACGTAGTTGTAGTGGACACTTTTAAAAATTTGTGTTCTTCTGTTTGAAAAATTTCTAGCACCATGGAACTATAAAAGTTATTTGTTTGAATTTAGAACCCTGTTGTGCTGTGTAAAGTCGAAAGCATTTGCAGAGAGGACCTGGGGGTAGATGATGAGAATACAGCTGATAAATTGTATCCCAGATGAGAGCGCTGTTGGTATAAATGAGATGGAGTTGGATTATCACAGAGCACTTTGCATAGTGGGTCTTTAATAATGGCGATCAAACCTTGAACACGGTGATCGTTCCAGTCCCCATCCTTGTTTAGCCTCGCTTGAATAAGTATGGACACGTTTTAACATAGTGCTCACGTAGCGTTCCCAGGAGCGAATTTGCAGTTGTCAGTGAGTAGTGGGAAGTGTTACAGATCCCTGACCTAGCGTGCCGTTAGCTGGCACGGGTGCTGGTTTCTGTGTCGCTGTGGCAGCAGATAGCTCAGTGTGGGCTTGCCTGCTTTCTGGACACACATCATTAGCAGCAGGAGAGTTACGCAGCCTGGCGCTTCCTTCCCCATGTGTTACAAACCTGATCAGCAGCAGTGTGCAGGCTTCCATTCGCTACCTTCCTGGCCAGCTCGTTCAGCGCTGCTTGATGAGACTGGCTGGTTTTTGCTGGGGAGAAAAGTCAGGTTAAAGGTAATCCTTGCATGACACTTGGAACTGGCATTGCAGTAAAGGACGAGCTTTGGCTGATACCCTGTAGCAACCTTGCTAGATGCCTTTATAAAGCAATTGAAAACAAGGTCAAGGCAAAGATGTAAGCTAGTACTAAACCTCGGTCGGAAGTGCAAGGAAGGGTGTGGTGAAGCAGCATGGACCAGTTGAACGTGAGCCAAGGTAGGTCTGGGAAAAATTTAGCCTTACTAACCCTAGAATTTCTGCCAAGATAGAAAAGAGCCTCCTAGGGCCTGAACTGGCAAATGCACAGAGCAGTCTCTTCTGTCCAGCCACTGATTTCCACCTTGAAACCTTCAAGATGGGCCTTCACATCCCAAGTCTTAAAAAGCAATCACAGGTCAGGAGTGATGAACAAAGTGCATTTCCTTGAAAATGCTGTTTTGATTTGAAGAAAAGCATAATGGTGTCCAAGATGCGAATACCTTGTCCTTCCTAGAATAGCCCCTGGGAAGTGGTTTCCCTTGGGATACAGGTGAGCCAGGTTTAAGTACCTCTTTTGTCAGTCTGTCTTTTCCCAGGTGAGTGTGCTCTTACCCACCGAGCCTTCTGTCCATTTCTTGCCTGCTGGGGCTTTTCCACTTTGTGTAACTAAATTGAACAAAACATTTTTAGTGCTATACCTGGTGGTTAGTGCACTCACTGGGGATGTGGTAAACCCAAGATCAAATATCTTTTGCTCTAAGCTATCAACACAGAAGTCAAGACGTTTTCTCTCCCCTCTTTCCTGCTTGCTAATATGGCAGAATAACCCACATCAACAGCTGATCCTAATGAAGAACAGACTTTCTGAAGCCTTGCGTTTCTATGCAATAGGAAGGGTTATCTGTATTCACAGCAGAGCTGGCATAAGACTGGATTTTCAGCTCCTTTTCATTGTATCTCTAGTTTGCTTGTTCTTTTCTTCTCGCTCTTGTTAGCTTGCATTGATTGGTAAGTGGTAAAGAAGGGCGAAAAACACACAATCCCAGAAAACAAAAACAAAGGAAGAAGGAGGAAAAAAAAAGGCGAGACAGTATTTTTCATTTCATTATTATGCTGCTTCACAGCTCCTATTCTGGCATTTAGAACAACATAATATGCATGTCTCTGTTCATTAGGTTCCTCAGTACTACATAGTGACAGCCACGGAGAGAGGAAAAAAAAAAGAAACAATCTTAAACATGAGCTAACCTTTGCAGGCTAAATAACAAAGAAATGAGAACAGCAAAGGAGAAATACGCTTTCTGAAAAGGTAAATATAACCAAAACCATGGCCTTGCATAGATTATTCAAATATCATTACAAAGGGGAAAAGAGAGTACTGAACTCTAGGGCAGAAATAACTAATTTTCTGCCCAATGACTTGTTTGTTTTGCACATATATGTTTGAGCAGACCTATTGCTAGCATTTGAACCATGGAAAATGACACAAGGAGACTGCAGAAACTAAAGATAGGCTTAAAGATATTTGGGAGCTGTGATACAGGCCCACAAAAATGAGAAAGCTTCCTATAGGAAAGCCCTTACGTGTTTTGGAAATAGGATGTCTGCATCAAGTGGGGATATCTAAGCAATTACCCAAGAACCTGGTGTATGCCAGGTATGCCTGATATATGTATGCCATAGCATGGTGTCAAATACAAATATTAGCTTGGAAATGTTAAATGTTTAAGATTTTATCCTAAATTTACTAAGAAGCCAGGATATAGCAATATTATTTAGGGTTCTAAATGTAGCTAGTCTGCAACTAACTGCATATTTTGATGGGTCCAGAGATGCATCTGCAGAAGGATTGTTAGACCTGTATCAAAAAATTATGATGGAATGCAGCTGGGTTTTTTTCCCCCATCAGTTCCAAGAGAACTACAGCACTCTAAGATTGTGTGGGTTTTATTGAAATTTCTGGGGGAAGAAGAAAGAACAAAAGAGACCTTTCAGCTCTCTGGAAGTAAAATATTTTGATTTCTCATACTGGCACTTTAATTTTTGTCATTTTATATTCTTTTTGGGATGTCAATTACAAATTTTTTTCCTCAAATGAGGAGATTAAAATTCTCAATGGCGCTGCCTTTCATAGAAGTTTTGAGTTTTGTGAATTTTCCTCAGTCTGTTTAACACCAGTAATAACACGCTGCTAATCTTAGTATTCCACAAAAATTAGCCTGATTGTAATTCTTGGGTTTTACAGATGAGGAAGGTGTTTCTTGGTTTCTTGTATGATCTTTCTCAAGATTATCCCCATTCCTTGCCACTGGTTGATGTATACCCCACATTTTTCCTATTTACTCTTCTGAGTTTCTATGCCTGCTATCTTCAGTTCTGCTTCTAAAGCTACCAGATGTCAAAATACTCATTAGGGGAATGTTCATTAAAGAAATTTACATCTCTGGTTCCTCTGGCAAGCAGAGGAGGAGAGAGCCAAGAGACGACAACAAGGCTTGGAAAAAGATATAAGCAACTGTCCAGCTGCTTTGCAGATCCAAGGGAGGCTCAAAGCCGAGGGTCCCTGCAACTCCCACATCGTATGGAAGGTCTCCGCGCAGGCTGGTGCTGAATCTCGTTGAGTTCACTGCTACCTTTCATCAGGAGAGTAGTTATTCAGAAAGGCTTTATGTGCACGCCCCTTCCTCTTCCTTTTTCTAGCCCCCCTCCTTTATTTTTGTTTATTTAAGTAGGGGATTTATAGACCTGTTCAGAGGCTGCTGTAAGAGATGTCAGAAGCATGGTTCTGTATCTGGAGCAGACAGCTGCCCTGCTGTCACTGATAAGCATTCCTGGGAGGGTCGAGATTGAAATTTAGCGCTTATAAAGTCCTAATTGGCGCAAGCCTCTGCGAAACGTGTGTGCCTGCTGCAGCTCCGCCATCTGATGCCTCAGCGGGGTGGCTGGCACTTTGCGAGTTGGCTGCCTCTTCAAAGAGTGACTCTAGGCTAGAGGGAGGCACCTCCCGGGTGGCAGTAGGGTTGTGCGTTTCTGGGGGACGGAGGGGATATCCATGTCAGGGAGCCCTGGGGAGGACAGGAGGGGTCATGGTTGTTGTGTGAACTGCCCGCATTGTAGCGGGGGATGCATGTTGTCCTCTGGGCCAAGGCAGGAGTCACTGTGGGGCTACTTCAGGGGGACATGACACTCAGTGGGTTGGGGTCACCGTGGATCGGTCCCCAGTTGCTACAGGGTGGGTGTTGCTGGGGGGATGTGGTGGGGTCTGGGGATGGATGGTGGTTGGGGCAGCTGGGGGAGGGTTGCTGCTGTGGGGCCATGGGGCAGGGCTGGCGGGGGAAAATGTGAGGGAGCCCCTGAGGAAATCGGGAGCCGGGGACAGGCTGGGGGGGTCACGCAGGCGTTCAGGGCTGGCTGGGGCTGGGGGTGGGGGCAAAAAAAAAGGGCCTGTCCCCCACCCGGCCTGGGAGCCGGGCAGGCTGGGGGCAGCCATGGGCACCAGGCACCTCCCTGGGGACACTTCCACGCTTTTCGTTTCTCTGTGGAGTCGTTCGTGTGGTGCACTGAGATACAAAGTGGGGTGTCTGCCCCCACCTTATCTTCTGCCTGACGGGGTTTGCATTTTAATAGCCTGAGTTTGCAGCCAGCTATTTATGGATGGCAGGATCAGGCTCTCATTTTGGACATAAAGCTGTAAGTGGGCATGGTAGGAGATTAAAATGGGAGCAGGTCGTCAGGGAGGCTGCTTTTCTACTGGGGGTTGTTTGGTTATGGCTGGCCCTGGTAAATGACTGGGGTTTTTTTCAGATGCTATTCCTGTCTCCCTATCAGCTGCGTGTGACTTGTGTTCGTGCAGATAGGAACTGCTTTGGGCAGCCTCTCTCCATGCTACGAGGGATTTAAGAGTTGTGCTGGGAAAACGGGGTGTCTGTCAGGAGCATTTGTGCTGTCCCCTATACCTTCCTCTATTGCAGTAACTATGTGCCCACTTACGTCCTCAGGTCCCCCATCACCATCCTTTCTGCTCTGCCTCGGGTACTGAGCGTACTGGAAAGAGGCAGTTCCCGCTGCGGCTGGTTTGAGGCTATTGGTGGGTAAGAGGTGGGATGGCTTTTGCCTTCAGAAATGGCAGTGGCGAGGTCTGTTCCTTTCCTCCTGGTGCAAGCAGCCGCGTGGCTGTTCCTCTGCCACGCTGGTGCCAGTTTGAGCAGAGCTTATAGGGACTGAATTATCGCCAGTCCTTTGCTTTTCTGCCAAATTGGTTGAAGTTGGCAATGTTATCAAGGGAGCAGGGGGATGTGTATTAGTGAGCCTTATTTCTTAGGAACGCTGGCTGAAAATAATAATGTAGAGGTATATAGATCAGGGGTTTTGTCAGATAAGAAGTGTTTTGCCTCTTTAATTTACTGCAGTTTTAATGGGATAGAGAAGAGGATAAGATATACAGCAACCTGGCAGGGAGAAATGCAAAATAAATTAGTAGCAATAGTAATGGTCTGGTAGTTTATGTCCCAAATGTAGGTCTCGTTAAAGGAGCCCGTCATCTTTAGAGTCAGTAATTTTTTTTTAACATATTAACAAAAGAGCAAGCTGAAATGTTTTGCTGGAAATTCTTTTTGCTAAAATTGCTTTCCTCCCCCTGGTAAGGTAATTTTATTCTAGAAGTGTCTGTTTTGGCAGGAAGGAAAAGCTGTTTATCAAAAGAGCTAATAAAACTCCTAAACCTGGAAACACTTCCATTCTGGCTAAAACTAAAACTTTTCACTGAAGTCATTGAAATGTTGGTTGTTAGAGACGTTTGGAAGTCCCCAGTTCAGCCTCTTACTCAGAGCAGGGTTATCACCAGCTATAGATCAGGTCAGCCATGACTTTATATAGCCAGGTCTTCAAAATCTCCAGGGATGGAGGCCTTACAGATATTCTGGGTAGCCTGTCCCAGTCTTGAATTATTTTCCTTATGGAGATTTTTCCCTTATGTCCAGTCTGAGTCTCCCAGGCCAAAACTGGTGATCATTTGCTTGTGTTATATCATCTGCTACAACCAAAAACCATTTGACTGGAGACAGGGCACTGAGTTATCTGTGCACCACAGCTGTGAAAAAGATCAGTGGTTTCAGTGCTTGTGAAACAGAGCAGAAAGTAATCACTATTTCTACTGCGTGCAGCAGGTCTCATCTTCTATCCTGAAACATTGTCTAGCATGCTAGCTCCTTCCCACTGCACTCTGCCTCCTGGGGTTAAGGGAAGAACCTGTTGGCCATATTGTGCAGAGGAGCTAAGCAAGAAGAGGTCCAACTGGCTCAACATACATCTCTGCAAATACTTCCCATGTCAGTTTAGGCAAATGCTTTTAACAATTCATTCAATTATGTTAAGCACCCATTAAAGGAATCTTAAGCCCTCCCTGGGGTCATTTCAGTTCTATGAGATTGTAATTGTTTGAGACTAACCATGATTTCTTTTTTTTGCCTTCAGGTGATTCTAATTCTGACAAAGCTGTATGACTACAACCTGGGAAGCATTACAGAGAGCTCTCTTTGGAGGTATGGAGATAAATTCAGTTAATAATTACCACCTTACTTAAATAGGAAGAGCCTGATACAATTCTTTTATTGAACTTAATTGGATTTTTTTTAGATGTGCTGGAAGGTTTGTAGCTAAACCCTTTCTCTCTGTGTCTTTCACTTCCATTCTTTCATACTTAAGGACAAAGAGGCTGAAGTCTGATTGTCTTGTTTTAGCTACATAACATACCTCATGAATGTGCTATCATTTGATTTCCCCTTTCCCACCTTATTCAGAATCAAACCAACCCCTTAGCTTATTTTCAGGAGAACTCAGCAACCTTGAGTCCTTGTTTATAACGAAGGATCTCATGGCTCTCTACTGCCCAAATGATCCTTATGGAAAGTCAGTGCTACTAAAACTGGGGGAATACCTGTGGGCAAGTATTCAATGTCTGTTTATTCAGAACTGATGGTATTAATACCAGATAATTGAATTCCACTTGTGTGATGCTGACTTACTACACTGATTTATAGGGAATGCCTTGATACTTTCATGATTTCAAAGTATCTCATGTGCTCTGTGAACCAAAGGAAACAGTTGGGCCATGGTCTATTTCTTAAGGCTGTTATTTGGATTCAGTGAGAGCAGATGGTGCCTGTTTTTATTTCTCTGAAAAATGGATCTAAGGGGTCCCTAGTGGTACTTCCATGAGCTGTAATGGATGAAAGGGAGTTTTTCTCGTGATTTCATCTGTGAAACTTTGGTGGGAAGTCTAGGGATTTTGTATGCAGGTCATTTATGGAGGTGGACACGCTACCGTCTTGATAAAAGAAAACTTTGGGTATTTGAAACTGAAACTTCTTGTTAGGATGAACTTGTTTTGATAAACTTGTTTAGGAAAGGCTTTTCATTTCTGAGGAAGAATTTTGGGTCAGAAGTAGAAGAAATAACCTTTCTGTTCAAGGAACTGAGCAGAGTTTTAAGAGAATGATGGAGGAGGGATTTGACATGGAGTATATTCTGAACTCAGGCTAGTGTTCTACCCACTGGCCTGAAGAAATAAACCAATAAACCAACCAAAAAAAAAAAAAAAACCCAAACCCCAAAACAAACAAAAACCACAAAATGTAAAGAAATTCCAAAGTTTTGATTTGTTCTGAACAGCAACAGGAACACTCAAAAGTATTAGTATTTTGTGGGGTTAGATAAATGGTTTCTCATCCTGCTGTGGGGGCATAATCAGATTTTTCTATTTTATATATGTTGCTGCTATGGCTTGACATCAAAAATGATCCTATTTTTTCCACTACCTTTGTCTTTACTCTGGTGTGCACACCAGAGTATAGGGCCTTTCAGGATTGTGGCTTTGGCAATGTTTTTCTGAAGGGGGTTTGGGCTAGAGTGTTTCATTTCTCAGTGGTTTTGAGGAAAAAAAAAATCCATTAATGTGAAATGTATATTTTTTTAATTTCTTCATTCTACCCTCAGTCATTTCATCCTGAGAAATATTAATCTGTTTCATCAGTCATTGGGGAAGGTATGGTGTTTCACCATGTGGAGATGCATCCTTCCCCACTGCTGACAGTGCTGAAGAACTACTTTACTCGTGTGATGCAATGCAGGATTGTGGTGAGATACTGATTTAGGACTGAAAACAGGTCAGCCACATCAGTGTGGAAAACACTTCTTGCTGAGGTGTATGAATGTGGACACAAAATTGTGCGGATGACCTCATGCTGTTGTCTGTTTCAGAATTGGTTGCTGTGGAGCATGTCACAAAGGCATGTTTTACCCTGATTAAAAGAGAGAGGACTGTGGGGATGTCACTGGAGGGTATACCAGAAGATGGGGATTTGGCAATGCAGTGCAGTCATAGAGCCAGTGCGCACAGTGCGCTTTGCTGGATTTCAGACAGTCCTAGTGTCACAATGTGATTAACAGCATAGTAATAGCCTGATTGTTCTAGCGCAGTATCCTATTACCAAAAAGCAGTCTAAGAAAGAATATATGAACAGGATTATCATATCTGACACTTCTTCCTAGTATTCACCTAGCATTCATTCTTAGGGTTGAAGTTTAGGGTCCTTCCTCAACCTTCAGTTTAAGGTCTGTCAAGGTCTGAATATTTTTTTTTTTTTTTATTTAGTGTATTCCAGGGGATTAATATCCCATGAGCTAACTTGCTTAATATCTCTTGGAGTGCGTTAAAATTTTTGGTACCTTAGAGCAAGCAGTTCCACAGATTATTTGAGGAACCACTTGTCTTACTTTGAATCTATCAGCTTCAGGTTCCCTTGGCACATGTCTCTTGTCAGGACTTGTTTACAGCTGACCATCCAGAATCCCTGGGCAAATGCTTTGGACTCGGAACTGCTGAAGGAGAACCAGGATAGCTAAAATCAACCCACTTGTCTTTGCAGTGCTCCATTATTCTTGATCAGCTCTTCAGTGCTCATGACTGCTCTGAAAGTTGCCAGTGCACTTCATTGTCATTCCTCGATCCTGTTGTCTCACATAAGCCTCAGGTGGTTATGTTGTGCTCTATCCTGAGTCTGACTCTGCTGTTAGATCCCTGCTTGCCATGCAGGCATGCCTTCAGGTTGCTAATAAATATCCCTGTGAAGATCCCAGGGCAGCTTCTCTGTTCTTAGTGTGATGAAAAGAAATGACATGGTGGGCATATCTTATTATTTAATGCACCTGACAGAGGTTATTAGCTGTTGCTCCTCCTGGCTGCTTAAGTGACATGTTAACTTAAATCTCCCCGCTTGCTTAAAAAGCCTAGAAAAAAACAGAATTGAGAGAAGGGGAGAAACATATCTTGCACTTTAATTTATTTCATGCCTCTAGGTTTGATGCTGGAGAATGGAAGAAAGCATGATCTCATGTCTGGTTTGATTTCTGATGTCAAGAGTTCTATTTCTGAAGGACAGAGCAGACAGACAGGCATTTCTGCAGGTACCCACAGCTGAAGAGGAATCTCTGCCTTGAATACATGACAAAGAAATACCACTCTCGCCTCCTGTGCAGAGAGCATTCTCAAAAGGTTGATGAATGATGAGGGGCTGTGTAGAAGCATGTCACAGACACGAGTCATTTATGCTATAGCTGGTTATAAGCACATCTGTCAGTCGAAGGTGTAGTTGGGTGATTTAAGCAGTCCTGTGACTGATGGGACTGTAACCATCTATAACAAAACTATGCCATCGCCTACAAGATATGAATCTGTCTTCTTTATAAACACACTCCTACCTGCTAGGATGGCATTTCTTTGTAATTTTTCAGCCAGTTTAACTACAGCTGGCTGCAGCACTAATGGATGGAAACTACCGATGAATTGAGAGACCACTGGCAACAGACATGAAGGGATGAAATACAGTAAGAGAAAAGAGATGGGGAGAATCTGTACGATCTTCTAGAGTGCTAAGGCTCTGTGCTCACCAAGCATTGGATGGCAATTGAGCTGCTGCTTCTGTACATGGTAAATGAGATTTTGCATCAGGCTGGGCCTGACTTTAATTATGCTGTTATCTGCTCAGCAGACTTTTTCCACAGTTTTAGTTGAGAGCTTTTTATTTACTTTTTGTTATTCGTTTTATAGAAGAGGAAGAAAACGGAGAAGAAAAGATTATCTGTCACTGAGCAATTAACTGAGTGTATTGGATTTATTTCTCTTCCTCTCCTAGATATCTCTCGGATCACAAAGAGGATTAAGCTGTGAGAGTTAGGAGGAGATGTTTTTTACCACTGGAGTAAGATAAGCTTACGTTTCCAATAAATAAAAATGTCAGAATAGTGACTATGGTATCCATGAGACAGCTGTGGAGGAGGACTAATCTTTTTTCTGTTTGTGTAAATATGATGCTCTAGAAAGGTGCGTGTGACACTTTCCCTCAGGGCCCTGAGAGGCTGACAGCAATGAGTGCTGCCATTCACCTGTTTGCCTTCTTATTGCTCTGTATTTGGTCAGGAATGAGTAATTTGATGGAACTTGCTGTAAAAATGGTAGTAATTAAACCTTGCTTTTCAGCCAGAAAGCAGGAAGATATAGAGTTTGCTTGGTTTGAGAGCATTTGTGTTCTAAATCACGATCCGTTGCTCTGTTAGTTCTGGAAGTTATTGATGATGCTCCTACGCTCCAACACTGTGCCTGAACTCTGAGCTTCCCAGTTCAGGAGTACTTAATGCTTCCAGCCTGTCCTTCACTGCTCCTGGTTTCTGCAGTAAGCAAGCTTTAGCTCATACACCATAAAGGAATTTCAAGGACTCTGAAAAATAGCTATGTCTCATAGATCTAGCTTTAATTTCCCATATGTAAAGCAGAAGATAATAGTTGCTTTCCCCCCCTCCCCTGCCCCTGAAGAGCTTAGAATGGATTTAGCTAACTGGCATCAGTGATATTTTGAAGATTGCCTGCTGATAAATATTACAGAGGTCACAGCAAGATAAAAATTGTCAGAACTCCAAGGCTGTTTCTAGCTTTTTCATGGCCTTTTTATTTAACCTTGAATTAGTGTTTTAACCCCTCCGTCAGTTTGCTCATCCCCACTTTCCAACGCCATCAATGCACATCATCCTGCAACTCTGTCCTTTCAAGAAGGGAAATTGGGTATGGAAGCTAGAGAAGAATCAGATCCCTCAGAGCATCTCTGCTTCTCAAAATAAGAATAACCTTCATTTATTCCATGGGACAACTTGATGAAATAAAGAATTCACTGTCCTTACTGTGTTCTTATCCTCTTCTGCTCTCAGCCACTGCTGGAGATAAGATTTTGGGCTGAGGTAGACCAAGGTACTTGGTACTAAGGTCTAAGTACCATTGTGTTATGTCTGTATGTTGGATAGTCCCATAACCACCATTACATGTGGGAGTGTTTTGGTGAAAACACATACTGTTGGAGATGGGTTTGCATTGGTATGTCAGATACTGAAAAGAAGCAATGGCCAACAAGAGTATGTTCTTTTCTCTTTGCAGCTGCTCTAGGGATAGAAGCCTCAGGGGAGAGGTAGGTGTAGATTGAGGATCATATCTGAA